GACTATCTTAAGAACCCAATGCACCAATTCAACGTAGGGGTGTACATAAATCTAATCAATCAAACACGTTAATGTTAAAACTTATTTGATTAAATTAATGAGATTGAAATTGTATTCAAACTTGACTTGTTTATTTTCTAAGACGAATTCAAACAAGTTTTTATTGAGTTGAGTTAAAGTAGCTTGAGCTTTTATATCCATAAATTTCAATTTTATACTAATTAAGCCAAATTCGAGCCGAACTTAATATTTTACTAAATATAAAAGGCGGCTCAAGCTTGACGTGATTAGTTCATAAACTAAATTCGAATGAACTCTTATCAATCTAAGCTTAATTGAGTATTGAATAGTTTAGTTTATCTTTCGGGCCTAAAAATTCAAGACAATTAGATCTAATAATGATACTCACATAAGTACTATTTCCACAAATGATACTTTCTCAAATTATTTGTTGTATTTAGACATGTTAATAGGTTAGGTATTATTACCCAAACCTAACCCAAATCCATACCTCGTAACAGAATCATGGACGCGGATAGAATCTGGTTTTATATGATCAATGCTCAAATCCCAATTCAGACTAAGACCCTACCCAAACTGATATGTATATACGAGGAAAAGGGTAGGAGGTTTAAATACATGCAAGTTTCAACATTGAGTACGGATAAAAATTTTCAAGCAAATGCAATTTGATAACATTTCATAATTTTACTTTATAATTTTTATACGCAATATTCTTAAATATTGATTCTAATTTTTGAAAATGGTAATTGGATTGTATTTTTTAATTTCATATGTTTTAATTATTTCTGAATTTAATTTTTAATTACACTTTGTAAAATATCCATGGATACTATTTGGGTCCCAAAACCCATGACAGTCCAAGTCTGAATTTTTTTTTTCAGACTCATGAGGGTTTCGATACAGATATGGATAATAAAAAATTTGCTAGCTCTGGGTCTGGATCAAGCGGATATAGCCCGGGTCTTATTTATTAATTATTAATGTGCTTAGTTGTATTAACACTTTTTACTAGCATTGTAAACCTTGCTATGATACTTACATTTTAAAGTGAAACAATATTATTGTTCACTAACAATATGAAAAGAAAAAATTTTTAAATGTTAAAGTAGCATTATTTTAGTGTCAATTGATATGACAATGTCATACTTTAAATGCCCAAAATAGATTTAAAAAATACACAAAAATGCCGCAAGACATACCCCACACATGAAACGCCCTCATCATCAGCCTTCCTCACCTCTCCTCCATTCTAAAAGATTTTCCTGCTCATCATATGTGTTCTCGTTTGTTAAGAGATTGCAGGTGTTTGCTGGACCAATTCAGGGGAGTGACGACGTCGCACATCTTCCGTGAAGGGAATCAGTGGGATGACTTTTTGGCTAATGTAGGATGCAAGCAAATTGGTCTGACTATCTTGTTTGAGCATCCACCATTTTTACTTTCTTGTTATCTTGTAGCCGATAGGCGGATGGTTGGTCATGCGCGATGGTGTTGTAACCAACCTTCTTATGATTAAAAGACTTCATTTTAAGATTGGAGAGAGAGAGTAATCTAAGTTTCTAGCATACGCACATTCTCTGTGTCTGAGCTTTCCTGATACAAAGTTACAATGATGAACATGAAATGTTTGTAATAAGAATCTTGAATTTGTACTTGGCTTATTATTGGGAGGAAAATGAACTGATGGATGTTCTCATTAAATTTGCAAGAAAGCAAGTGGCAATTTTTGTAGACTGTTCACAAAGGTTGTTGGCTTTGGCAGTTGTGAAGCAATACAAATAGCGTAGGCTGATAAATTTATGTTCAAGAGTAATCTTGCATAAGAGTGACCTAGTTACCTGTCCAATATTTAGTGAGCTGCATAATAGATCAGTGGCGGAGCCAGAAAAAATTTTCAGTGGGGCAAAAGCAACTCTAAAATTTTTTACCTACTCTTTTTTTAGTTTTTTAAGGAAAAAAATTCACCAATAAGTACAAATGATGCATATATTTTATGAAAAATATCAAAAAATAAACTCAAAATTATTAATGTAATAATAATTTTATTTCAAAAGCAAACTAAACCATTTACAATTGCTCATAACGAGTTATCATATTTTGATAATGGTTTACAATCTTTTCATTTTGAACTTCACGAAGTATATTTTTCTCAATATAAGTAACTAAAAAATTATCCATCCAAGTGTCTTCCATTTTATTTTGTAACCGATTCTTCACTATATTCATTATTGAAAAACCTTTTCTACGGTAGTTGTAACAACAGGTAAAATCAAAGACAACTTTAAAAGCATATAAACCAATAGATACACAAAATTTCAGGGGGCACACTTGAAATTACATCAAATTTTTATAGGTATTATAGAAATTTAAGGGGGGCAATGGAGACCTATAAACCAATAGATACATAAAACTCCAGGGGGCACAATTAAAATTACATTAAATTTTTATAAGTATTATAAAAATTACGGGCCCCACTGCCTCCAGTGTATATCCGCCACTGTAATAGATGCACTCCTAAAACCATTCATGTGATGATGTGTTTTGGGTAATATTTGATAAATACATATAGGTAATATTTATCATTATCACATATACAAGTGATAATTTATGTGATCAGTCCATAGTAATAAAGTTGAGAGTATATGTTCTCACAAGTTGAGAGCATGAGATCTGTGCTCTTGATACTTTATTCTAACATCTTTCTAATCTTAAGATTATTAATTGGATAATAATATTTCGGTAAGATTGGCAAATATTATCTCTGCTGAATTAAGAGGATGATGAATCTCAAACATTATATGAAACCATTTAGATAAACATGTGGGTGTTTATAGGAATATAAGTTTACTAAATGTGACTCGAAAAAAGAACACCAAATGAAAATTATTACCAATCTCTCAATTGGTTGTTCTTGATTACTGTTTGCACATGTGATCCTTAAATTAACTTGAGATATCATAGTTGTCTTTTATATGCTTCTCATACTTTAATAGTACAGTGTACTTATGTTCTAGTCAAGAAAATATAAGTACCTATCATTGGATATATCAAATTATATATGGAGACATGTGAATGATCAATACGGAATATATCACCATTGCTAAAAGGGAGAATATTTTATGTGATCTTCTAAGATACAGCTTAGAAGTTCTTGGCCAATGAGAACAAGAGATTAGAAAAGAATTTCTAATTTTATAGAATTTATCTTGTAGATTAGGCACATATCATTAAGTCTAGGGGTTTGATAGTTATTCTATACCTAGACCAACCGTGATATTATGTGACAGAAGAAAAAAAATTGTGTCGTAACTAGAAAAGGTTCGCATATAATTTGTAAAATCTGGTTGTCACGATATACTGCTGGATGTCACTTGTGACAAATGGTAAATGAGAAATAATTAATTCAATTGTTAAAGAATTATTTCAATAAGAGGAGTTTTAGTTTAATTTCGAAAACTAGATTAGTTTGAACCAAGGGGTGACACACTTATGATGTTAATATGTATTATAATGGAAGGAGAGATGGACTGAGTGGTACAGGAAGAAGGAATATAAGTAAAAAATTCCAAATTCGAGACCTTTTACTGACAAAGAAAAAAGTAATATGAAGAAAAAATGGCTTAGTTATAATTAATTAATTATTTCTTATTGAGAATAGGAAATTATCCTATTATAAATATAGGCTTTAGGGCATCCAGTAATGCCGTAATTCTCTCTTGCATCCTTTTCTCCTCAATCTCTAAAGAGTTATAGGTTGGGAGAACTTCAAATTCCAAGATTACCTCGAAGTGATCAATAAACGTGCTACAAAGGTAACTAGTCTAATCTTCTTGTGGTTTATTTATGATTTTGTATTATCATAGAGTTGATTCTATTTCTGGGTAAAGGAAGTAAAATTTTCAAGTTTTCCAATGGCGTGCAAGTAGTTTTCTGCATCAATTCCTTTCATTGCGCAGTGCTGTTGAATTCTTGGACCAAGTATGGTCTTGCATAGGCTATGACAACAAAGCCAAGATAAATGAAATTGTGAACCCCGACTCAGGATTCAATTGTCCCACCAAGTTTAACCCCAACATTGACTTCAGAGACTCTCTAGTGAGCACTGGGAGACTTTAAGCAATGCCTAAATCCTCATTTTGATCCTTGCAGCTAGAAGTTAAGGTGTTGCTTTCTTCAAAATATGCCTTATGTCTAAATTGCAGCTTCAACTCATCTGTTTGATCCAGAAATATCCAAAATGTATCCCTGTACTGTTACGTTTATTTTACTGGATTTAAAAGTACTTTAAAAAATCACTATGGCACATCTTATAACTTTTCTAAATCATGCACTTATTTTTGTCGAGACTGAAGTATGTAAAAGACAAGACCAATATTACAGACAATATACCATCCAAATTGCATGAAACTTAGAACAGAACAAGGAGACATACTGATACTTTATTTCTTTTCACCAATCCAAACTGCATTGTACTATTGTTGTTAGACCCGGACCGGACCGGCCGTTTGATTGGGTCAACCGTGAACCGGTCTTCTTCCCGAGCTGATTTGTAGCATAAAATCGTTTTGGTAAAAAATCAGTCAAAAACCGATTAAACCAATGACCTGATTCGACTGGTTGACCCAGTTCTCAAACTTTTCTTTCTTGTTTTTTTCAAACATAATTTGAGTTATCCAAATTGCAACACTTTCATTTATTAATAGGAGTATAACAACGCTACCCACTTAGCGTAAATATCAAAATCACTCACTTTCCTGAATGATCTCTAAATCAAGATGTTTCATCCATATCATCTTATCAATTTAGCATTAGTGATTCCAACTTGCATTAACTTGTTTTAATTTAGTTTTTCAAGTAGTTTTGAAAAATGGACATATTTTAGTCATGAATTTACATTTTTATATTTAATTATTAGGTGTATATTTGATTACAAGTCTAATATTTTTGGAACATTTTGTATGATTGGTTGAATATAACCAAGAACTTAATTTCAATATTTCTAAAACTTATAAAAATATAAAATAATTATAATATCATACTGATGTCAGCGAATTTTTAAGAATGGTCTAGCTGCTCCAATCAGTTGACCCCTAATCCAATACGTTAGCTGAGTCGTTATTTGGTTTGAGTTTAACAACATTGCATTGTGCAAGTCATAGGCGATCCACAATGCACTTTTCATAGTTATAATATCATTCATAGTTATAATATCATTCTGGATAAGCCTCTATAACGGATAAGCAAGCTGGAATTGCGCTAATATTGTAACGTGGGAAGCCTCCTTTCTGTAGAAGTATTTTCCATTCAGGTTCAGTCCTTTCCTTGCCTCCAGAGGCGTGAGCAATCATTACCAAATCAAGTTTCATCCTAACGCTGTCAAATAGCCCATCACCGTCAGGCTTTAAGACCACATCCACAATGAAGATCTTTCCTGTTTGTTCTGGTATTGCTCTTCGACAGTTTTTTAATATTTTCACACAGTCGTCATCATCCCAATCATGCATTATCCACTGCATTGACGAAGAAAATGATGCAGAAAAGGAACATTCATTGATCAGTTGGTTAGAAATTTAATTTCACAAGAGGTGGAACAAATCATGGCTACTGTATCAAGCTAGAAAGAAAAAAAAAACTTGGAATCAACAAATGGCAATTCCGATTGCTCAAGACAATATAGACACTATCAATGCGAACTTGATAATACAGTCATACGGAATTTGACACATTTGCAACAACCGTGTAAATGTATGTGTACTGTTTATTCAATAAGAGTACTAACATTTTAAACTTGAATACTAAATATAATTGTGCATTTGAATTGTTAATTGTTTAGTTCTTTCTTTTTGTTGTATTATTCACTCTAACCCTTTTTTTTTTGTGATGTAATAAATGTTAATGAGAAACTAGTTGAAAAGATATGAAGCCGTGTTTAGATATTTTAAGGGGATAATTTCACAAACCTCCCCTGAGGTTTATGACAATTTCATTTGGCTCCCATCAAGTTTTACAAATTACACTAACCTCCCCTGTCACCATAAAATGACTATAATGACCTTCACTTAATAAATAATTCATAGTATAATGAAATGAAATTTAAAAAAAAAAAAGCCTGACCTCTTTAACTATCCAATTTACAAGTTATAGCTAATGAGGATTCTCTCTCACTTACTATCACTCCATTCTCATCCATCAACCTTTTCCTCCTATAACTCGCTCTCAAATTACCACTAACCATTGCCTATAATTGCAGCCAATCACACCACAAGTGATCCCTCAAACTTTATTATATATTCCTATTCCTCCTTTCTTTTCTTTGAAATTGCCAAATCACAAGTTTAATTAGGGATTAGATTTGATGATTGAAATAAAATTCAATTTCATGGTCAAATTAAAAGGAGATGAAGAGGCACACAATAATAATGGAACAAATAATGCAATCATTGGCCAAAAGAGGAAGAGGGATTGAAATTGGTAAATTTGCTAATTTGTCTATGATCCATCCAAAAAACTTTTTAAGATGTTAACAAGTATATTTATATTTCTTTTTATGCTTAACAATTATTGGTTGTGGTTTCGCTATGGAAATAGAGTTTTTTCTCTATATTTAAGACGTTAACATGGTTGGAGATTTACTAGTAGGCTAGGTTCTTGTGTTTTGAGAAGGTGTGGGCTTTGGGTTTGATGTTTGGGATGTGATTAGTTGTAAATAAAATTTTGATTTTTGGGAAAATGAATTTTTTGAATATCTCTATAGTCATAATGATGCCTTTCCTTTTTCCAAACTTGATTAATCCCATCCATGTCTAAATCTCTCCTAAGGATAATATGACTCATTTAGTAGGAGTTAAGCCACTTATATGGAACCAAACCATGGCATCCTATATTGAAAATTATGCAAACAAAAGGGCAGTTGCTTGTGAGTTTGACCATTCCATGAAATCATATGGTGAAAATATTTTTGAAGAATGAAACAAATCTTTAGAATCGAATGCATGCTTTGGGAGAAGTAATTTTATGACTATGACGATGGAATTGCTTGGGTTTAGAATTTGGAATTAAACTATTTGTTAGTATAGTGGGTTTGGTTGAAATATGAAACAATGCAATTGGCAAAATAAATTTTTTTTATTTTCGTACAAAAAGGGTAGTTTAGGATTTTTGAGAAAAAAATATAGGTTTTTGGGCCTCTATTGTTATATAAATAGTAAAAGCAAGGGAGGTAGGTGTAATTTAATATACTTGAGGGGAGGTCTCTGCAATTGTTAGAAACCTCAAGGGAGGTTTCCGTAATTATCCCTATTTTAAAAGAAAGCTTTTCTAAATTGTCTGAATAGCTGAACTGGAATCAACTCTATGAATTTGTATTTTGAAGTTCTGTGCTTCGAGCTATCATGTATCACCCCAAAGTAAGAAATATAAAGGTGAAATGAGAAAACAACAAGATTTGGCAGTGATTTTCGCAAATATTAATACCTTCATGAAGATGGCTTGAGCACTAGGGATGGCATCAAACATGTCACCACCAACATGAGAAACTCCATCATACTTAGGTGCTGTAGCAACAACATGTGGCAAATCAAAGTTGATTCCTTTGATATGTGGATAAGCCTTGACAATCTCAGCTATGGTTGCGCCAATTCCACCCCCAACATCCACAAGTGATTCCACACCATCCCAGTTAGCACTTTTAAGCCCTGAAAGAACTGCTTGCACTGTAATCATCCCAGTGCATTCCATCCCATCATTGAAAATCTTGTTGAACTCAGGGTTTTGTGATGCAAAATCCCATATCTCTTTTCCATGAGATTTTTGAAATGCAATGCCACCCTCTCTTACACAAGCGCTCAACTGATGCCATGGACTTAAAAGCCATGGATGGTTCTCCATTAAGATAAACGGAGCTAAGCTCAACGGATCATTGTTATTTAACAGCCAGTTCGAGGCTGGAGTAAGGTCGTAGAGGATGGTGGAGGGAGTGTCTCCACCGTGTCCTGGTCGAACTTCACTGGATGTGAAGATCTTGTTCCGGACTAACAACCTCATGATTCGTGCCAGATATGGGATATTTGGGGATGAAGAGTTGGTGATATTGGAGGAGATTTCGGACAGGGATAAGGGACGGCCATGGAAGTGTATAATGTCAGCTATTTGAAGCTCCACAGCAGATTTTAGGGCCATGGAATCTACAAAGCCGAACAAATGTTTCCATATCTTCGCTTGGCCATGAAGAAGTTTTGATCCTTCATCATTTGTGTCCATGGTGTCTTTGTCTCTCTTTTCCCTCTCCATGTGGCAAATGAAGAAGGGATGGGGGAATTTATTTGAAATTGCTTGCTCCAAGCACGAGAACAAATTAATAACAGCTATTTGTTTTCCGTACTGTGAGATTATAATCTAATTGTCGCATATCCCACGGTTGAGTTGTCTTTTCATTTTCGCTTCTTCTCCGTCTCCCCTATTATGCTGCATTAAACCCGGTGAATTAAAAATTTAACAAAATTATTTGAAATAATTTACTATCTAAAAAATATTATTTCCAGCTTACACATGGCTAGTGGCACCAAATGTAGTTAATGAAACAAGTTACGGGCTATGGTCCACATGGTAGAGTCCATGTTGGCTTTTCTTTTTTCCTCCCCCTTTTTTCTTGTGAAATGCTGTCCATGTAAATTATCTCTATTTCTTTTTTAAAAAAAATGGTGTATTATATAAAATTCCGAATGGTTCTATAATGGGAATAATTCATTGATGACCATTGTGGCATTCCAAATAAGGCTTTGTAGCTGCTAGTGGTAACTATAGAGTATGCTTACTGTGGCATTCTTGATAACGTTTTTTGTAGCTGCCAGTGGTAACTATAGAGCATGATTTGTAGCCAGGATCGGCTGGTGTCAAGTTTGTCTTATCTTTTTAAATTTAACAAAAACAGATAGAAAGACTTTTGTCCTTTTTCTTTACAATTGATGGTTTATATTTGGATCACATTGCTCAGCTTAATCTAGAGCCATAGATTGTTCCCTATCATTCCTCCAAAAATTGTAGAAAAACGGCTCTTGCTATTTTCTAAGTGCACAATTTCTATGTCAGATTTTTCCTAGTTCAAGCGATACATCGGCGGAAGCGAATTGTATTAAAAGTTTTGAATTTTTTTTGTTGCGGTATAATTAGGAGGAAAATATATTGATGGATATTTTTCTTTTCATTTCACTGGAGCGAACGTTTACATGTAATTGTCAAGTAGTCAACTCTTTCTGTTTCCTAAAATTTCTGCACATGTTTTGTGGTGCGACTTTTGTGAGATCCCATGGAGGTTGTTCCTATCACGAGGGCAAGAGATCTTTTGAAGAGAATTGATATCTCTCGAAAATACAAATCGATGACATATTATTTCGTTATTATATAACTAAATCAAATTCGTAACTGATTGTTGTAGAATCTTCAACTGCCTCCATGGATTGGATAGTCTTTGTAATCATATCACTGTGAACGTTCGCTTGTTACTGTCAACTAGTCAACTCCTTCTGTTTGCTAGAGCCATGCGTATGAATTCTGGCGGCTATGACTTTTGTGAGTTTCCATGGAAGTTGTTTTCGTCACGACAAGAAGGAATATTTGTAAAACAATTAATTTCTCTCACAAATGTAAATCGATGATCTTTTTTTTTTTTTTTTTTTTTTGTTTAACTTGAAACCTAGATCAAGTGACCAAAGAAAATTTGGACATTCTGCTCCAAGTGATGCAGAAGAATCGAGGCTTGAAAACAATACCTTCAAGACGTACAACTTCTGTCTCGCCATCGTGGTTGGGTCATAACTACGTCCATCCTGGCATCTGAGGTGCAAGTGACAGCTAATTATCTTTCCAATTAAAGATACGCTACTTATTTTCCTCTTTACTTCACGACTAATGTCTGATAGGCAGTATCACGCTCATCTAGAAGGATAATCGTCTCTTGGAATCCTTCTGATCACATATCAATAAACGCCTTCCACTCATCTTTCTCTGCTTTAAGACGATCAACCTCATCACACAGACGGTAAACCTCGTCGTGTAAAACTTCATTGCTCCGTCTCATATGCTTCCTAGATAGAATCAATGTAGATATCTCGTGTGTTTGGTTAGATACACGGTCTGCTAGTATCTCTGCCTTCCTAACTCTGTCAGTGGTTCGCTCTAACTCCCAAAGTACAAATCTCTAGAAAACCTTTGCTTCTTCCTAAGATGGGTCACATCGCATCTCGTCAAGTGGATTGTACAGTCCTGATTCTCTATGTGCACTGGATCAACCATTTTCCTACAAAATCACAATAGCACCACTAGTAACGAGTTCAGCTTAAATCACATGCATAGACCTTTCAAGTCTAATCTCCTGACTACAACTTGTCATTTTCCTAGTACCACTAAAAAATGTTATGCCTCTAGTCCATACGTGGTAGGCATGAGACATTCACCGTATCCTCAAAATTTGAGAACACAAGGCAATCATAACATTCTAGAAATACTACTTTAATTAACATATATAGGTCTATGTGTGAATGCAATGGCTCCTAATTGATTGTAATTGCTGACGTGTCGATCTGTCATTGGTCAATTAATGGTTGTCATACTCGTGTAAATTCCCTCATGTGAACTGGACGTCTCGTAATTCTTTTGTTTGTTTGTTTGTTTGGAAGTCTTCCATGGAAATCTGAGGCTTGTTTGAAACCTGAGTTTTTTGGGAGTTTGTCTAAAACTTTACTGTAGTGCATTTCTTCTTCTTCTTCTTCTTCTTTTTCTTCTTCTCCTCCTCCTCTTCCTTTTTCTTCTTCTCCTCCTCCTCCTCCTCTTCCCCGTTACCTCCGCCACCCCCAGCACCAACTCCACCAATGCCACCTCCCGCCACCCCTCTCCTCCCTTTCCCCTTCTACTTCCCTATGCCCTTCCATCCCCCTCTGCGCCTTCGCCCTCTGCCCCTTCCCCCTCTGCACCACCCCTGCAAAAGCTCCCTCTCCCTCTCCCTCTGCCCGCAACCCCCTTCCCCCACCCCTGCAAAAGCTCCCCCGCCACCCCTCTGCCCGCAACCCCCCTCCCCCATCCTTGCAAAAGCTCCCCCGCCACCCCTCCCTCTCCCTCTCCCTCTGCCGTCACATGAGTTTTGCAACAACAGAAATGATTTTTTTTTCCAATGTTTCATCTCCCTCTCCTCTCCTTATCTTGCCGGCAGAATAAGCAGCAACAGCCGAGTGTAATTTTTTTTTTTTTTTTTGCAATTTTCCTTCTCCCCAAGCTGCGGGAGGGGGAAGGTGGCGGGGAAAGGCAGGTGGAAAGAGGGGAGGGGGGAGGGAGAAAGAAAAAACAAAGAAAATAGAGATTTTGGAAACCAACATATCGGTCAAAAGGGGAGGGGAGGGAGAGAAAAAAAAAAGAGGAAGGCCGACAAAAGTTGGCTGGAATAGTTACCGGCGCCGGAAGCGGTAGTGGAGGTGGTGGCCAGTTGGGTGGGGGAGGAAAAAGAAGAAAAGTTGAAGGGAAGGTTTTTTGTGTATTATTTTGAAGTGTGTAAGTAAAAAACTTTGATAAGTTTTTTGGGGTTCCTGTAGCAAAAGTTGTTAAAAAACTAGTAGCTAAAAAACTTGGCCAAAAACTTCACTTCCAAACAAGCCCCTGGTCCCATGTGACTTTCATGGTTTTTTCTTTTTTCTTTTTTTACTTTGTAAAAGAAACCCATATGGGTTTGGTGAGTATTGATTGGCCGATGCTTCAGAACTCAAAATCGTCTTTTCTCCTCCACTCCATCCATCTTTTCTCACTTTTCATCATCACCGAAACCCCCCTCAACCTTTCATCATCGTCTTCATCTTCTTATCTTCTATGTATGTTGGTGAGAACAAATGATAAGAAAAAATAATTTGCTCTGAGGTTCTTTCTTCCTCTGCCAAAAATAATCTAGCCTTTTAATTTTTTTTTTCATTTTTTAGCAAAATTGTTGGGGGGGGTTTAGTTGTAGCTTTTTGAGCAAACTAATGCTGTTTATTTTTTTTTTATATTGCAGCATAAAAGGGCTGCAAATGTTTCTGCCTCAGCTTGGTCGTCTTCCTTTCCTCTTCTTCTCTCTTATTTTTATTTTTATTTTGGTCAAAATCCTCTTCTTCCTTTCACCCTTTTTCTATCCATGTATGTGATAAGCAAGTGGTAGAGACAAATCTGAAATCCTTTTAGGTTTTGAATCTAAACATTTTGAGATTTTTCTTTCATTAAATTTTTTGTTCATGTTGTTTTCTCTTTTTACTTATTTGATCTGAACTTGACCTTTTTTTTGTGATTGTAGGTGGGAAAAAGTTGGTAAAAATGTTTTATTTTGGTAAATTAAGTTTTGGTTGTAATTTTCTAGGTTTTTTGTATTTGAATCCTTGACAAGAAAATATTTTGTGTGTTCTTAGTTTCTGGGTTTTCTTTGACTAACGACCAACATCACTGTAAGTGATCATGGAGCCCTACTAATTTAGATACTTGTTTTAAATACCTCTTCCTTGCGTATTTGCAGAGATCTTGCCTTTCTTTTTCCTTTTACAAGAACATCATTTATTTATTTTAGTTTACAAAAATGCCAATTTTTTTAAATATAATTCCCGTTGATTTGGCTCTAAGAAGCTAAGATTGGCTTGTAATCATCTATTGGGGATAACATTTTGAGAATACAGCCTAAATTATAGCATATTTACTGGTCCCTAAAATAGTTTCAATCTTTGTAGGCAATAAAAAATTTGATATGATATGTTGGTCTTTCCAATTTCTTCATTTGTTGAAAAGGTATAGTTAATTTTTTGCAATTGAAATAACAAGAAGATGTGAGGATTCGTTTGCATTCAGATCCTATTTTCTTAAATTATCTGCTTTTTTTCCCATACTTTTGGTCATGTTATTAACATACTTTACTATATTAAAGGCGTGGCCAAGTCAAGATTCAATCATTCTAAAACCAGTTCATGGAATAGTAAAATTTTTAAGTTAAAAATGTTGTATTTCCTTTTTGTTGTGGCTTTTTGATTGAAGGATGGTCACTATTGGATAGAGTGGTTCTTTAATTTTAGCCTTAGGTCCTTAATTATTTGCATGCTGCTAATACACTATTTTCAAATGATGGATACCTTTTGAATTGTCATAGATATGTATGATATTTATTTTTGAAACAGCTTTGAAATTTTTCCCCTTTTTTCTTTATACATACTATGATCTTGTTCCAAAAACACTTCAAATTTTGGCGCTATTGTATTGTACAAAGAACTGAATGAGTTTTACCCAATCATAGACTTATTGGATTGTGAAAGACACTACCATTGGAGGTCATGGTTTTCTTTTTTCCTTTTCATTTTACAGATGATCATTTTTTCCATAACTTT